TACGTATCTGCCTTAAAAACACTTCAATGTGGGGGACACTATGTATTATATATATTTACATGTATAAGTTAGTTGTTGCGGTTTACTTCACTAACAGTTAAGGGTCCCTAGTATGTATGCATATGAATATTTGTATCCAGCTGCCACGACCAGACTGAAAAAGGGTTGAAAGTTTGGACCGTTTTTCAGTTGCAACTTGCAACTTAAAAAGGAGAACAATGAGGGTCATGCACTTTTTAACGAATAAAAACTTCCATCACTTGGTAACTTGCAACCTTTTAATCGACCGAATAACCATACAAAGTTTGTTTAAAACCCATTAAAGGTTTGAATTTATGTATGATGTACAAATGAAAAATAAATTTAACTTATTACAAGTATACATCCGGTAAAACGTTAATATCCTGATTTTATTTTGTCGCTATTGCGTGGGGTTCTGAATACGTGCCATGCTTCTCGTGTCAAATATGTCCGTCACTATTTATCCTATGGTTACAAAATCGAACCATGCTTACATAGACATTTTAAGTGAAAAGGGTTAAGTAAGGGTTAATGTACCCTTGTGCATTGGTCCACTACATTATGTGGTCAAAATAAACTACAACATTGACCACAGTGGAATAACCCACGTAAAGTTAAAGCTCGACGGAAATATTATTTATCGACTATCACTCGCATTCTCGACTTTGTTCACGACGGATCGTAACATATTTCTTACATTCCAAATATTCTAAGCAGGGTTTTCCACATCATTAAATAAAAGTTGCGGCTGCATTTAGAAAATAAAGCTCGGTGTTAAAAATTCATTCCAAAGAATCATTGTTTCTGCCTGATATAAATAAATTGTGTTGTCTGGTAAGCATTATGTAAAAAATACAGATTTCATTTGTGCCCGCAATTTCGGAAGAAAGTGAACAATTTTTAATCTTATTCTCTACTGGATTTTACAACTTTACAATTTTTGTCTAAAATTTAAATTTCAGTAATGGAATCAAGTCGAAAAAAAGAATTTGAGTGTTCCCACTGCTCTAAAAGTTTCAAAACGAGAAAATATCTAAAACGACATATGGTCACGCATAGTGAAAATGCTCGTGTTAATTGCAACGTAAGTAAATACAGGGTGGTATAAATGTCAGGTTACATTGGAAAATTTTTCAATGATAAAAATTCGCAAATCTCCATTAGTTACCGAAGTTTTGCCTCTGAAATTCAATATTATCAGAATTTTGCCGTCAGTGTTCGATAAGTTTTGATACAAATTAATAAACATTTCAATCCAAAGTCCGTAACTAATGGAAATTTACGAAGTTTTTCCATTGAAAAGTTTTCCATTGTAATGTAACATTTAAACCACCCTGTACATATAGAGATTAATGGCGTACCACAAATATTTTTGCAACAATCCAGAACACTACCCAATAATAGGAATCTTTCCGCAGGTTTGTGGACAATCATTAAAAAATCACCTCATCCTAAAGTCCCACGTGGCATACATGCACAGAAATAAGGGGAAGCACGTGTGAAAATTTGCTCGCATGATTTCCGCAGTGCAGGAAATCTACAAGCTCACATCATATCAATTCACACCACTGGTGAAAGATCGCGCTACCCGTGCACATTTGCGGAATGTGGCAAATCCTACCTTCGTCAGCGGGACGTTTTAGAGCACATGAAGCAAATTCACGTGGAGAAACGAGTCCGACACGCTTGCACATTTCCGGGATGTACGAAAACATTTCTGAACAAGGACGCCATTACAACACACTTTAAACAGGAACATGTCGAGAATCCGGTCCGATTTCCGTGCACATTGTGCGGCAAGCAATTTAATGTAAGGACAAATCTTTCCCGACATATTGCCAGCCATACGAACGAAAAGAGTTACAAGTGTACAGTTTGTGCGAAAAGTTTTGCAGCCGTGGATCACTTCAAAAGGCATCAGGTAAAAATTTGAATTCATAATTGAAAAGAAAGTTTGCATAGGAGTTTTTAAAAATTTACGAGTAATATTTTTCACAAGTTTACCAAATAAATGAGAACACGTCTATCTCGCAATGTTTCCTGAAGAAGTTGCAAATGCTATGGTGCGAACATTAAAATAAGAGCACAATTTTTGAAAACTTGTCAATCATCGTACCTCCTCAGTGACCTTGCTCGAGCTCAGGTGATCGGAAAATTACGATTTGTTTCCCACCCTACCGATGAGGTTAAATTAATCGTGAATTTTATTTTGCTCCATCGACCTACATACATTTTTAAAAATTGTACTCTTCTTGTAATGTTCGCAGTTTAGAGGCGCTTTGTTTACGTTACTTAATGCCTATCTTGTTTGTTTCAGGAAACCCATAAAGAGAAATCTGCTCGACACGTTTTTAAATGTGGTTCATGTCCTAGAACATTTTTGTCCCAGACTGGACTCTCTCGTCACGTGAGCAGCCACCATGCAGATCGGGTGACCCTCAAGTGTTCCCAATGTGAGAAGACACTCCAATCCTCATTCGGCATGAAGTACCACGTGAAGGTGACCCATTCAACGGGCGAGGTTCCATTCTCATGTGACAAGTGCGACTACAAATCTTTGGCAAAGTCCAGCCTTACAACGCATGTGAAACGGGTGCATGGGGATGTGAAAGGAAAAGAATGTTATTTCTGTGGCAAGAAGTTTTTCACTTTTTCCGAGCTAGTGGTCCACTCCAGATTTATGCATACGATGGAGAAATAGAGTATGGCTTACATATTTTGTTAAATGTAATGATATGCAAGTGTGCATTTTTGTCATGATTTTTTGGTTATATGAATTTGAGAGCATTGGCCTTTATGTATGTACAGGGTGGTTTAAATGTCACGCAACAATGGAAAATTTTTAGATGGGAAAAATCCATAAATTTCCATTAGTTACCTTTTTAGGAAATTTAGTCTTTAAAATGCATTATTTTAAGAATTTTGTTATCACTTTTGATAATAATTTATTTATAAAAATCTCAATTGCAAATCTTGTAACTCATGGAAATTTATGGATTTTTCCCATCGAAAAATTTTCCATTGTAGCGTGATTTAAACCACCCTGAATGTAAGAGACAGTTTTCATTGACCGACTAACATGTATTTAATATGAAGGTTATTTATTACGAAGGTGAAGATTAAGGTCACGTGGAACTGCTATACATACGTATGCATGTATAGCAGTCTCTTGATATTTAACTAATATTACAGTATTAATAATATTTATTAAATTAATATTTACACATGTAACCAATTAAATAGTTAAAAGTTCTGCTTACAATTGACAAATATACTTTAAGCCTGAATATTTCAGGACATGTTCGTTTGCGTAAAAAAATAATTGGTGACCATCAGAAACACGGTGTAATTAATATTTATCCTGTAAAGGACACATGTAGATGGTTCGATTTCCACTAAAAACAAGTGGGTCGCCATTAAAGCAACTAGATTTGCATACATAGTATGCATTTTGTAGATTCCGATGCACAATAAAATCTTTTAAGTACACTGTACGTGGATTTTATGCTGTTTCCCATAAAAGTATGGGGCATCAGCAGAGGGCGGATATGTATGTACTTATGTAAATTCCACAAAATATGTGTGCAATTTGTGCCTAAAAAACTCTAAAAATATGCACAAATGTTTTTCAACTTACGCTTTCTACCACATTTATAAAATATAACTTTGTGGAAACCTTAAATTCTGAATGAAGAAAAAAAAATTTCATATAAAGCTTCGGAATATGTATCTACTAAATATTTATATTTAGAAAAATTCTTGAAATATACTGGAAAATATTTATATGTACGAAACCTAAAAATATGCAAAATATGGAAAACTATGTTTGAACTCTTGCGATCATGCTTACATACATGGGATGTCAGTATATGAAGTTTTAGTACGATTTGAGTTGGTATGCAAAAGTTAGAAATACATACATACATACATATCCGCAGTCTGATTAAAAATTTATGAGGCAAGGATTCAATTATAGTCAACCCTTCTCCTTTCCGTTTAATGGCGATCATAAAACGCTTTCCTGCTTTGCAATGATTACACTTTGCAAAATTGGAAGGCGACAAGGGAGCCAAAGTTTGTGGATAGTAAATACACTTTTAAAAATCTGGTGGACTCGCATATTTACATATGTACTCCACTTCGGTAACGAGATGTTACTGCCCTGATATTCATTATGTACACTCTAAGAAACCCGGTAACTAAGTTAGTACCAGACGGAATATCTAGGTTACTCTACCGCGTGGGTAATTAATTTATTATTGAGTAGCAGAAAATTAGTTACCAACTGGTAATATTTTCAAATTTCGCGACCGGGGTTATTACCCGTTTGGCAGGTAAATAAATGTCTACCACTCAATAATAAATTAATTACTGTGCGGTAGAGTCACATGCATAGATATTCCGCCTGGTAATAACTTACTACCGGGTTTCTTAGAGTGTGTACATAATACGAGACGAGTCACTACGTCACAAGTTTATCTATCATCAGATTATTTAGAGTGTTCATCTTTACGAATTTGAAATGGATCAGGCTCACTTCACTTTCCCTCTCACTCACTCACTGTCCTAACACACACATCCACCATCTCCTTGTGAAGTTTTTCACCCCAGAATTTCACAATCTCACACAACTTATCAAAATTTTGTACCAATCAAAATAAGGTGGTAATGAATCATTACAGTGCGGAATGACTACCACAATGTGTCTCTACCACGTCGGTTACGATTTGTCGCAGAAATTATAATAATAAATTCGGTGAAATTCAAATTCATTGCCAAATATTAAAGAAGTGAATACCATTTAATATTAAATTTGTCGTGGAAATTGTAATAATAAGTTGAGGGAAATTCAAATTTATTACATAATAGTATTCACTTCTTTAATATTTGGTAATGAATTTGAATTTCCCTGAACTTATATTACCATTCCTGCGACAAATCGTAACCGACGTGGTAGAGATACATAGTCATTCCGCATGGTAATGATTATTTTGAGTGTACAAATCAAAATGACCAACACGGAAAAACCCTCCACGACGGTCGAGAAATCCTCCTCAGATCGGTTACAGCTTATCTTGGCATGCTCTCTCTTCATGCTAATTTGCCTTTTAATGTGTCACCTTACCTGGGAGGTGACCGACCCAGGTGGAAATCTGAACGTGACCTTTGCCACCCTGCGGGCCGAAGGGTTACAAAAACAGGCCCACTTTCTCCAAAGCAACGTCGTCACTCCATTCGTAAACAGTGACCTTTACACCCTTTCTGACCAGTTGGAGGAAAAAGTGCCGAAATTCGTCCCTTTTCGAGGGAACATGGGGAAAGTTACCCGGGTCGTGTGGGCGGTTCGGAATGAAATTCAGGCTCAAACTGGGCGCAGAACGAGATACGTTGTGGCAGAGAAACCACCCCGCTATAAAAGGGATTATTATCCAGGGGATGATTTTTATGTGAGGGGCATTTTTAAACTGGCGGAAAAGAAGAGGCCTGTCATTATCTTTTTGGATTGTGGTAAGTGATCCATTGTTACCGGGCCGGAGGAGGGGCATTATTATTGCTGGCTAAAATTATTTACAAAATTTTAGGAAATTATTGCAATGAAATTTGAAAAAGTATATGTGTGTTATGACCAAGAAAAAAATAACGTGGCGAAAATTGGCCCAATATATACATGCATTTTCTCTATAAAATTTCCCACATACTTTTGCAGGATTTTGCAAACTATTTTCTGCATAAATATTCATGCCCTTCTGTTTCGCATGATTCTGCAGAATTTTGCTCAACTATGCATGCACTGTGCAGAATTTTTATGTTGTATCCTCATGCGTAGACCAATTTTCGCCACGCCATTTGCATACGTATCCAGTAATTAGTCATATTCACAGTGCTAAAAACTATTTATATAATACCATCCGGTGACAAAATCCGGTGACAAACCGCAAATGATGTAATTCATGTAAAAATCCTTTCAATTTCTCACAACCAGGGTTTGGAAAAACCCAGGGTTTTAATAAAAAATTATAAAACCCATGGGTTTTAATGGGTTTTACCATGTTAGTTGGGTTTTATTTGGGTTTTAATGGGTTTTAATGGGTTTTATTAGTTTTAAGTAATAACTTCACAAAAATAATTCGGAATTTGTATCTATTCGGAAATTATTTTTGTTTTATAACACTTGAAATCTGTGATGCTAAAGGATGGAGTCAATTGTTGATTTGTTCCGAATTTTTATATATTAGAATAGTAATGAAATAAACTGCTTTAGAATGAATTGAGATAACGTCTTCTAATGTATGGGAGATGTATTTAACTTTTAGAATGTAGTTTTAAGGTAAAATTCAATTAAAACCCAATAAAACCCATTAAAACCCAAATAAAACCCAATAAAACCTAACCCATTAAAACCCAGGTCGGAATACCCTGCTCACAACCTTTTTTTAATTATTTGCATTCCAGACCGCGTCCCCAAAAACATAATCGATCTCTTCATCCTTCACCTGGGGAAAGCCACCCCTGGCGAATACCTCGTGCTGGCCACATCTGATAAAAATTGGACCGTTCCCCCCGGTCTGGGGGGACCGCCCGGTTTATCAAAACCACTCCACATCCCAACCCTGCCCACAATTAAGGAGAGGCGGAAACTGATCGAGGCCTGCAGCTCCGCCTGGCCCGAGCAACCCGGCGAGGAAATCTTGTACGTCATGGCGAACCGGACGGCGGCCTTGTTGCATCGAGAGAAGAGTGTGGAGCAGGAGGTTGGAACCCTGTGCAAACTCGCGTTTCGAAATGGGCTAGAATTACATGAAAAAGGTCGACGTGGTGGTGAGAAGAAAATTGATGGGGGAGAGATTTCCGTCTCCCTGAAAAATTGGGAGGATGCGCTAGCCTCGATAATTTCGAAGGAGCAGAGCTCGGCGGATAGCGGGTGAAAAGTTCCAAATAACCGGATATGTATCCATATCGGGGCAATAATCTTGCCCTCCAACCTCCACTATTCAATTTCCATCATAAAATCTCGCCCTCCAACCTCCAAACCTCCAATATCCAGGATTTCCGCCGAGCTTTGCTCCTTTGAAAGGAGTAATATGTACCATTTGGGGGTGGATAATATTAGTCAGAGATCATTATTAAATTAAGTGTAAATTAATATGCACTCAATCTTGAGTTAATTTAAGGTAGTGGCGCAATGAGGAAGCTCACTAAATATGAAAAGATTAGTTATGTTAATACATCTATTTTCTTTGTAGCTTATTCCGTACATATGAAAGTGGTTTGGCGAAAATTGACCCTATTTTCTGTATAAAATTGTGTGCAGGATTTGTCAAATTTATGGATGTTTTTGCAGAAGAGTTTTGCACAGTAACTTGTCATGACCAACAATGCAAGTCTTTTACGTGTACAACTCAGATCTGGTTGGGACCAATTTTATTTTGTTCACCACAAAAAATACGCATGCCCATATTTTTTCATTTTTCATAATGCACTAATTTAAGCGCGTGGCGCGGATTTTAAAACATTTTTCAGCCGAAACCTCGCTTTTTAAAAATACCCTAAATTTTCGAACTTTAGCGCGAACCCAAAAATTCAAAAACATGTCTCTTCAGAATGACTTACTTGACTTATAAAAAATCCACATGCATTATGTTTTGAAAAATTAAAAATTTGAAAGAGTTTATAATTTTAATGAATTTCAAAAACTGGCAAAAAATTTTGAAAATCAAATTTGGAGACAATTGGATTTTTCATAAGTCAGGTAAGTCATTCTGAAGAGACATGTTGTCAAATTTTTGGATTCGCGCTAAAATTCGAAAATTTACATGATTTCTAAAAACCGAGGTTTTGGCTGAAAAATGTTTTGAAATTCGCTCCTCGCGGTCAAATTAGCGCATTATGAAAAACGAAAAAATACAGGTATGCTTGTTTTTTGTGGTGAACAAAATAAAATTGGTCCCAACCAGATCTGAGTTGTACACGTAAAAGACTTGCATTGTAAGTAAGTTTTGTGTGTATAATTCTGCACAATTTGTTTGCAGGCTAACAATTTTTGCCCAGAATTTGGCTAATTTTCGCCTCATCATAGATTTGCATAGTGGAAACAGATTATGTATAGAAGTATAAATGCTAATTAATATTAATAATTTTATTGTTTACTCATTTATGAAAAATAAATTACATACACAAGCGTACACTCTTGATGGCCCAGATAATTAATGAAACCTAAACATCGATACTTAATTAATACATATTTCTAGCCTACACATTTGGCTGACATATGCAAATACTCTGCTGATTCTATAGTGAAAAATAAGATAATAATTATGATAATAACTCTTGCAAATTAGAATTATTCTAATTTGCATTAATGCAATTCATTTAATTTTCATTTTTACATGTTTTGTTCATATCTTTAAAATTAGAAGTTTATACAAATGTGCGTCATTTGTTGGCATTCGTCTCATGTTAACTGAGCAGATACATATCAAAAACACTACAAAAACACTATGAAATTTGGCAAAAATACGCACAAAAACAGCAAAAAAGTCACTAAAAAAATCATATACCAAGCCCTGCTTTTTGGCGAACACTGGGCAGGGATGCATTTACATACGTTTGTTTCGATGCTGCACTACATTCCATGCAGTATTTTGATGGAAATTATTTAATAAAGTCATCACGCCTAAGATATCAAAGATTACACTCTAAACAATTTCGTGAGCAAATATCTTCCTTTATTTTTTAGGATCAGAAAAAGTTATAACAATGAAATTTAGAAAGCACCTCTCAATAATAATCTACTACCAAATGGAGAATAAATACAAAAGGCGTTAGGACATGGTTTTGACGAATTCGCGGGTGAATATCTCTGGCGGGGAGTTGAATTTTGAACTGATTTTTGGTCAGTTGTAAGATAATACTCTCAAAAAGATATATTTAAAATTTTAGGCCGATAGCTTTATAAATGCCCCCTCCAGTGCCCCCAGAGTTGGAAGGAGCCAAAAAAACACTTTCCAAACTGAATTACTCATATAGCATGATAACCTAAGAGGTCAGAGGTGAATGATTGTTAATATTACAACCCTAGATAATCATTGCATGTAATAATAAAAGAATCTACATGAATTACATAATGTTGGGCCTCCATCGTCGCTGATACTTTTTCATGAAAATTGATAAATTGGACCGTGCACAGGAAAATTGACCTGCTGACCTTGAACGCGGACCCACTCGGTCAAATTGAGGGCAAAGCTCTAAGTGTCCCAAATAATATTAAATTAAACAGTGAAGATTTTGTGTAAACAGTTTTGGAGAACGACCCTAGCTAATCAGCTGTCGCGGAATCCTAAAAAACTCGTGAACTTATTTGGAAAATTAATGGTCAAATTTTTTAGAAAATAAATTTTACTAATCTTTTTGTGTCCCCTACTGCAGAACTATTTTATCTACAAGGTACAAGTGACAAAATAATAAAATGATTGCGTTTTGGTTAGTTAAATTATTTCTGAAGTTCGACATCGAAAACGACGGGAACTTTTCCAAAAATTTTATAAGGTCTGATGAAAACTCAGTCCGTGGGGTATAACCACTTATCAAAATTTTGTCAAAAGTACTTCAAGTGCAATATACTATATGTACCTTGGATAAAAACCACGTTAGGGATTTTTAGCATCAAAGTCGTAAAATGTGGGGGCCTTAAAAGTGGAAGAGTTGCGTTAAAGAGCGCATTCCATTAAGACAAGTATGAAATTAGACTGCAAAACGGACTTAAAAGATACGCATAAGGCAAACGTGGTTTTATATAGTGAAAAGCATGCTAAGTCCCTTAAAAATAGTCGCAAAGACGATTTTTGCATCAGGACCTAAGAAAAAAATATTTAGTTCAACGCCATTTTATAAGAACACTGGTTTGGAAAACTAAAAAAGGACACCTCTCCAAATTTGACCTTGCCTCATTTCGCAGAGTACACAAAATCGGAAGCCAGATATGCTTACCTATAGTTTGAGACATGGGCTTTCACATAAAACAAGTTAGAAATCTCTACGACTAAAAACCATCCCGCAATTAAAGTATGAATTCGTCAAAACCATGTCCTAACGCCTTTTGTACAACCATAAACTACATAACGAAACAAGACTAATTTTTATAAACCAAGTAATCAAACCAAGTAATAATTCATCAAAACAAGACTTCCTTTTAATTCGGTTGCGGTTCAACCGGTGCCCGATCGTCGTCGTCGTCCTCGACGTCGGTCCAGTCATCCGCTGCGGATTCAGCCAGCAATTGTTCCAAATAGCTGTCCACCCTCTCCCGAACGTATTGGATTGTGGCCACATCCGTGATCTGAGGCAGAATTTGGCCATTCGAGCAGACCTCTCCCATCGTCCGTAGGAAGAGAACGGCTATTTCATGATTGGCTTCCGTCATGTTGTTCACCAGTAGAAATAAGGGGGCTTCCGTCGAGGATGTTTGGCCGCTCTGTAATGGACAATAAACAAGTATATCTGGTTAAGGAACGTTCTTAATAGGAACTTATAATCAGTTTTTTATGATGAAAATCTCCCCAAAGTTAAAGGACCCCCAAATTTTAATACGGATTAGTAATGGAGATGGAGAGTACTTATGTACAGGGTGGTTTAAATGTCAGGTTACAATGGAAAATTTTTCAATGGGAAAAATTCGCAAATCTCCATTAGTTACCGAAATTTTGCCTCTGAAATTCAATATTTTAAGAATTTTGTCATTACTGTTCCATAAGTTTTGATAAAAATTAATGAAAATCTCAATCTTAAATCCGTAACTAATGGAAATTTACGAATTTTTCCCATTGAAAAATTTTCCATTGTAACCTGACATTTAAAGTTTAAACCACCCTGTATGTACAACGTACCTGAATTGTTGCCGGAACGGGGTGATGAGGGAAGGGTGACCCAGGAGCCACATCCGTCAGAATTTGGCTATTCGTGTAGACAACTCCCATGGTTCTTAGAAGGAGAACGGCTAGTTCACGATTGGCTTCCGTCATTTCGTTCACCACCAGAAACACGTGTCCCGTCGAAGCTTGACCGTTCTGAAAGGGAAAATATCTCGTTAGGGAGCGTACATACGGTACATACGTTCTGATCGCATCATGATAAATACATAGGTATCCAGTGGCGCAACTATATTTTAAGGGCCCCTAGACAAAATACCAGAAATAAAATACCAAAAAAACAAAAAGAGTGAGCACCTTCAGAAAAATTTGGTCTCCTCCTTCAAAATTTGTCAAAATCTAGAGTGCATATTTTTAATAAATTGGTACTGACCTGGTCTACAAATGGATCTGATAGAATTGGAAAATAAATTCCCAGAACGGAGAAATGCGTAAAAATGTTAAGATTTTTAGATCTCAGGCGATGAGTCACCTAATCCTACGTTAATCCTGGAAATATGCAGTTCTACTTATGTCGGAACGTATCGTGACACCAACTTGGAGCTGAAGCTTCTAAATATTTTACATGACTTATCACGCAACTTTTTTAACTCAGGCAGGAATAAGTAATTATCCTAAATATAAGTAAAATTCGTTTACATATGTACATATGTATATGTTGCATTAATAATTTAGGCTTTGGCTTCCAAGCAGATTGTGACAAAGAATACAATAGCATTAACTAAATGTCATTTCAGTAGTTTTTAAAGTTTAACCCATCAACGGATTATACGTGTTTACATATACACGATGAAATGTTTGTAATGTTGACGATTGGTCGAATATGCCATAAAAAATGCATACAAAAAGCTACGGCCTGTTGACCTGGCATGGCGTCTAGTGATGCCAGTTAAATTCGAACCTTTACCATGGCGTGGCATCTACATATCGTTGACAATAAACATGCAAGCATTCAGGTGGAGCGTCATAATATGACGACACGTATTTCTACACTATTCACCTTGCGTGGCATCTATTATTAACAAAGGAAAATAATGCCAGCCCCGGACCGGCATCTATGAATGCCACTGCTTGTGGTTGAAGGATTTTGACCCATGTCAAAGTTTCCACATAAGAAAATTTCACAGCATACCCCAGCCATAACACACAAACACTCAGAAAAAATCTGTATTCTCACCTTCAGCTGATACACAAACACCCCAATATTTTCAACTACCAATTTTTTTTACAAAAATACAAATTTAGAAGGGTTCTTAATTACTTATATGATATCTAAGTTCCATTTACAGAGATTCGCTTTTTTATCCGAAAACAAATTTTTCCTTGAATAACCCCGGAACGGTTTGTCGCAGCGGATCAAAATGTTTAATTAAGTGAAACTATCAGGAATTTGAGAGAGCTCTACTTGTGGCTGACGATGCGATGATGCTGCTGACGAGGATGCTGATAAGAGTGAAAGACGTCGACCAGTACTACAAATTTGATGTTCCACATAGCATCATGTATGACCGCAGCTGGTTACGACCTTGTAAAAAATATGTCGAATTATTGTCGATTTGTCATAGCACATATGCAGATACAAATTTATTGTGGTAAAACGTTCCTCAAAGTAACAAATTCCTTGAATAGATTGAGATATATGTAGAAGTTGTACCTTAGCTCAAACTATGTAGGCTATGGTTTTGTCTGGGGGTTA